GAGTACTAGTTGATCACGTTCTCACACTCAGAGTACTAGTTGATCACGTTCTCACACTCAGAGTACTAGTTGATCACGTTCTCAAACTCTAAATACTAGTTGATCACACTCCCATACTCTTAAGTACTAGTTGATCATGTTCTCACACTCTCAGTACTAGTTGATCACGTTCTCACACTCTCAGCACTGGTTGATCACGTTCCCATACTCTAAATACTAGTTGATCACGCTCCCATACTCTTAAGTACTAGTTGATCATGTTCTCACACTCTCAGCACTAGTTGATCACGTTCCCATACTCTCAGTACTAGTTGATCATGTTCTCACACTCTCAGCACTAGTTGATCACGTTCCCATACTCTCAGTACTAGTTGATCATGTTCTCACACTCTCAGCACTAGTTGATCACGTTCCCATACTCTAAATACTAGTTGATCACGTTTTCACAATCCCAGTATTAGTTGATCATGTTCTCACACTCTTAGTACTAGTTGTGAACTGATATTGCTGGCTTATCAACGATATCAATGAAATACCTTCTGATCTTCTTTGCCACTGAAAACTGTATAGAGAGCTAAAGCCCACAAGTTTTGAAGCATACATTAATTCTATAAAACATTTGACATTGAAAACTGTGTAGAGCTAAAGCCCACAATTTTGGAGGCATACATTATTCTTTAAAACATTTGCCATTAAAACTGTGTAGAGCTAAAGCCCACAATTTTGGAGGCATACATTAATTCTATAAAACATTTTTATTCCTAGTTTTAAGTAATTTGCTTAATAATATTCCAGCCATCAAAGCAGCGTTGCTAATCCAACGCTGGTATCGACGGTACCGTGCAAGACTTGAAATAAGACGTCGGTGCTACTGGACCATCTTCCAGTCCATTGAATACGCCGGGGAACAAGATCAAATCAGGGTAAGCTGTTCGGCTAGGACGAAGTTAAAGTACATGAAGTTCTGAAACAGCTATTTGTTCTTAACTTAAGTGTATACCTCTATAAAAGTAAAAAAGAAGTTAAAGTATTTTCTACTTTTTATATAACGGGGAGCAGGAAGGTTTTAAATGGATTATACCAGTGGGCTCGTGAATGTCTTGGAGTGGTTTGAAACAGCTGTGTTGTGAATGTCTTGAAGTGGTTTGTGTCAGTTGTCTCGTGAATGTCTTGGAGTGGTTTGAATCAGCTGTGTTGTGAATGTCTTGGAGTGGTTTGAATCAGCTGTGTTCTAAATGTGTTGAAGTAGTTTATATCAGCTGTATTCTAAATGTGTTGAAGTAGTTTATATCAGCTGTATTGTGAGTATCTTGGAGTGGCTTGTATCAATTGTCTTGTGAATGTCTTCGAGTGGTTTATACCGACTGTTTTATGAATGTCTTGAAATGGTTTATATCAGTTGTTTTGTGGGTGTGTTGGAGTTGTTTATATCAAATGTGTTGTTAATTTCCTGAAGTGGTTTGTATCAGTTATCTTTGTAAATAGCTTATGCCATTTTGCAATTTATTTTATTATATGGGAAAGCATGGGGCTTGTATCAAAATACTCAGTTTATTGTCAATATCCTTGTTCTGTTTGTTCCAAACCATCATTATTGTTGAACCTTGTTATGTCGCATTTCTCATGTGAAATAGCCTGTCTTTATTTGTTGTTTTAATGGTTGTCTATATTTAGCTGTTCCATTTGTTTGTTTTACAGCTATATAGCTTCTTTACTGATCTGATGACTCACATAGCGTGTGATAAGTCTTCTTTTTCTAACTCCATAGCCAACTCTCTCAGAGGTACGTTTTTTCTACAAGGTATTATATTAATTTTAAAAGTATATATATTTTTCTACAAGATATCTTATTAATTTTAAAAGTACGTGTTTTTTTTTTACAAGGTCCTTTATTACTTAAAAGTACGTGTTTCTCCTTCAACTTCTGCCCCAGTGGCAAAGCGGCATGTCTGCGGACTTATACCGCTAGAAACCGGGTTCCGATACCCGTGGTGAGCAGAGCACAGATAGCCTTGTGTGTAGCTTTGTGCTTAATAATATACACCAAACATTCAACAGCTAGCGTGCTAGAAGTTCTGTATTGGTTTAAAACCGCAACTCGATAAAGCAAGCATTCGCTTACAGGATAAAATATTTAACGTTTTGCATGATAATATTTCTAGAAAATTTCAAATACTCTCATTTGGTTACATTTTTATATTATTCCTAAAACATCCAATGAAACTATAAAAAACTTTTCTAGGTAGGCCGCGTATTCTAGCGGAGATTGAAGAAGAGGAGAGAGAACTTTGGAAGGAAACAAACCCAAATTTGATACCCATAGAATCAACTTATCAGGGTCCTCATATCCACCTCCCTCTTACGGCAGACCAAGTAACTTTACTCATCAATTCCTTCAGGAAACGGAAAGTACGTTTTCTTCAAGTTTAATGCACACTGTGTTTGATAAAAGAACCATGTAATTCAACGTTAAAAGTTTCATTCATTTTTAAACAAAGTATATTCTTAAAAACAACGATTATTTTATACACAATTCAATAAAAATGAAATTGTTTCCAGTCTCCAAATTACTAAAATATTAACTTACTGCACAAAGTTGTAAAAAAAAACCGATGATACTAGAAATCAATCTCATACTCTCGACATGTTTTGACGTATACCTTGCGTCATCCTCAGCAATGTAATTTTTGCAAAAAATAACACTTATTTATATAATTATCAAAACACTAATTTACATATTAAAAAATTTCACGCCATCTGCTAACAACATTTCCGTAAGGTCCATCATCCTTAATCAATGATTTGAGTTTACTTTTTTTACATATAATTATCTCAATAGATTCACATATATTCATACCAATTAAATTTTCAGGTGGTACTAAAATAAAAATGTTTTCCCATTGAATTGTGTGATTAGTTTCACAACCATGTTCTGCTAAAGGTGAAATAGTTATATTATTTTTAACATTTCTTTTATGTTAATTCAGTCTGAATTTTAAATTTCTTATAGTTTGTCCTATATAAACTTTTTTACATTCACATAATATTTTATATATGCCAAATTTATGCTTCAAATAGAAGCGTTTTTATCCTACTTAAACGATAAGCCTCATCCGAGTGAATAATTTAACACAATACCAATGAAGTACTGTAAATGTAGTGTAACTCATGGCGAAGTTTTGTGTAACACACACAGAGACTAAAACATAGACTGTGGTAAATATATGATTTAATATAAATCAAAATAGCCTAAAGAACATGGAATGATGTCAGAAAATTTTGCAGCTACTACATGCACATTATGTTTTGACGTTGCTGCACGAGGCTAGGAAGATACTACAAAGTAAGCCTAACATAAACGTTGCTAGCACGACTCTATCGAGACACATTACAATTTGTGGGGACCTTCATGGAAAGCTGGACGATCTTCTTACCATATTTTACAAGGTAAGCACAACAAGCGTTTACTCACTTTTTAAATATTATCTGTAACCTTTTAAAGTTTCAGGGCACACCACATTGTAAACATATTTTTACAAAGAGAAACACCCTGAACCCTGAAGAAATGTAAGGAGAAAGATGTAGTTTATAGTTTCTCTTGTGGTATTTGTAACGAAAAACATATTGGTTAAAACTGAGAAACCTATAAAATGTCACTGTATAGAACATCTCTGTGCTACAATGATGGACGAGGTTTATAGAAGTGTAGTTGCAGCACATTTTATTAATGAGCCTCAATACAATCACCCTTTTAGCATTAAAATAGGAAAAAAATGCTACGGTTTTCTGGACTGGAAGCACAATAATTCCTTTCTCATCAGATCTGAGAAGTCTTCAGTCAACACGGATAGAAGGTTACCACTATAAAATGTAAATGGTGAATTTATTTTAATGTATATATACGAACGTTTTAACACCTTCTACTATATTTCTTGTATATATATATATATATGTATATTGTTATGTATCTCCTTGTTTGATAATTTCCGGTAGAAATTTTGTCCGAGGAACTTCAGCGATACTAGTCCTTTCTTGATTAAACCAGTTTATTCTTCCTCGATACAGTAATTCCTTTAAACTTAATAACTTTTATAATACAATCTATAAATCACAGTGATTCACACACTTTACTTACCGTACGCTTCTTTAATTATCTATATCTCGCTGGCTTCTCTCCCAGGCTTATATACTAACAAAAGAGGCGTCCCGAATACACTCAGGCCTCCCCAATCATGCATGATCATTCGAGAAATTTCACGTACGCTACCAGCGCCAAAGGCACCAGCAGCGTCACGTGACTTCGCTATCGTAACACTGCCCCTTCCATAGTATAGTTCGTCCCGAACAATAGCCACTTACATTAAACCAATAGATAATTAACAATAACTTAATTAAATATACAGAATTTACAAACAAAATTTAAATACAACAAAATCTCTTAATTTTACAGAACGTTTCTTCTTTCGTACTGGTCTCCTTCTCATTGGCTTCTGCTTCACGTGGGATTCATCTGCTCCATCAGGAAATGTCTCATTATCGCTAGCAGTCACATTAGTGGTAGTAACTTCACTAACGGTTTCACTGTTTTCCCTCTCAAAACCCGGTAGAGTTTCTTCTTCAACAGTGGTTTTTTAGATGACACGTCTTCAGCAGCGTCATTTGTTCTGTTGTTCATTTAGTTCCAACTGAAATGTCCTGGACCGTGATAAC